ACGTCCTCCTGGAGGACCAGTGGGAACCACCAGATGAGCACTAGAGGAGCCATGCACAGCATGGGAGCTGCCCCCCCCTCGACAAGCCATGCCTCCATTTCACCCCAGCCTGCAGCTGCAGCCCACCCCACACTGCACAGATCAGGGGGGCACAGGCCCCCCAGACGAGCTGCTTGCAGCTCTGTCCCACACCCCTCCTGGCCGTGCCTGCCCCAGCCCCATTCTCTCCGTCACTGCAAGGGGTCTTGATCTGCCACCCTCCCCACTTCCCTCTCCTTCCACCACACAAGATGTACCAGCTTACCAAGCTAAAGAGCTGCATGTCGGAAATCGGATCAGTATTGGCCGATATGCCTCCTTAAAAATCGGCTATTGGCATAGACTCCAAAAATCTCTATTGGTGCACCCTTAAAGTCTATAAGTAGACAGATTTTAATGTTTTAGAGGGTAAACAACTTTGTGGACTAGCTGGATAAATCTGTACAAAGGGAGACAGGGTACTTTATTACCCATTGAAAACGCACCCTAAATTTGAACTTCTGTTCAAATAAACTCAGATGTATAGAACTACATTTTTGTGTGTATTTGCTGAACACTAATTAAATGGTTTACTCATGTAGTGTCTGAGCTTGTGTGTGGCTGCATTGCTGAATATTGCCTCAACAATTTGAAAAAGAACTTACCTGTAGCAGGATATCTATTTACTCACATAATTCTATGCTGTGTCCACAGCACTGCAGTGTTCTCTCTCTTCTCTCTTAACCCTCTCCCTTTCTACCCTTCCCAGGCTTGTAATTATTTTCTGTCTACATTCAGCTGGACTGCAGTCCCCGAGGCATGCAGTTTGCTACATATCCTCCTCGCCCCTCCCTGGGTTATGGGCCTGCAACAGGTTGGCGATTCTGCCCATCTCAGGCTCTGGCCTCAGCTTTTATGGCTTTAGGCCATAGCCATTGCCTCCCTTGTACATTAGATGCTCTTGTTTCAACCCCAGCCCCCTCG